CTATGCTTTAGTTACACACTTTTTGCAATAAGATGGGTATATAGAACCATGATTTATATGACAATTGGAGCATGTATTATACCCTTTTGTGCTTCATCCCTGGTAACATGCAATATGCATGGAAGTTGTTGATTGTCCCCGAAATAGCAGCTTTCATCTTGAAGGTTTCATGAGTTGTTGCCTCATATGTTTCTATACCATGTTGCCATAAGTTTTTTTTTAAGTTTATCAATCATTGGCTACAAATAAACATCAATACCATTGCCAGGTGACACTGGATCGTCTATTAGAAGAGATAAATAGTAGGATTGCTTCATAGCAAACTATGGTGATAGGTTGTATGCAATCAATACCATTGGCCATGTGCTTTGGTTATCACCTATCATAAGCTTTAAAGGACTAAACCTATCGCTAGCAAGATCAAGCCTTACATAACGAGGTTCTTTCTCAAATGAAGGATGTTTCACTTCAAGATCTATCCAAGCCTCAACGTCCCTAGGATGACTTATAATTCGTTTTCCCTCGGGGGCACTATGGTCCCATGTCATATCAACTGCTTTCTTTTGATGTGTATAACCTTAACAACCTTAGGATCAAAGGAAAATGACAAAGGATCTTAATAGGAACATTTTTTCCTCTAGAATATTCTCTTCTTTTCTTCCATCTTGATTCCTCGCGCACATGAGATTCATTAAACTTCTTGTATTCCCCTTTGTACAATGCGCAATCGTTGTGACATGTGTGTATCTTATTGCACTTTGACCCCAAATCATTTATCACCTTCTTTGCATCGCATCATACCAAAAGTTTGGCACTAAACTCTCCTCGCGTAAAAGAACTTTTAGTAGCTTAAGAAGACTGGAGAGTGATTTATTGCTCAATTTGTTCAAACACTTAGTCTAAAACAAACAGACTATAAAAGATAATTTTGTGTACTTCTGACAATCAGGATAAAGAGGTTTCCTTGCATCCTCTATTAAATTTTCAAATATTCTGCATCTCAATTTCCAAACATTTCCCAGTGCTATTTGTTGCATTTGAAGTCGTGACATTTTCATAAGTTAGCGGTAATGGGTAAGATGCCAACGTTCCTGCTATGTCATCTCTTGATGAGAGCACATTAATTGTTTTCACTTAGTGCCTCTTTCGACTTTCACCATGAAAATACCGCTTAGTATAGTCACATAGAAAACCATTACTGGTTATCTCCATCTTAATTTTTTTAGTATCATAGCTATACTAGTTTTTACATTTTCTACATGGATAACATACATTTGATTGACCTACTGACAAATGTTGAAGTGCAAACTCAAGCAATTAACTCCAACTATAAATAAATTCTCAATCCGTTGCTTTTCCTGATTATATATCCAACTCCTATCTACAAGGAAATTGTATTTCACCACTATAAATTATCTATAGTCCTGACCATTTTAGTGTATTATATTAATTCAAAATGAAGAATTAGTCCTCAACACTTTAATATAGATTTATGCGTAAAGAATACATCCTAAAACCTATGTAGTAGCATACAAATGGAAGGAACAACATTTTCAAGGGCATATAAATAATTAGCTTTCATTGTGGATGTAACGGGGAGTGCTTGATTTACTGAAATTGGGACACAAATGTGAGCTAAAATATGGATATTAAGGTATGTTTACCATATATTCATCAAATTTACTAAATAGTTTATATCAAGAGAGATAGTGAAAACTTATAGACATATGCACCTCTCTTTTATTATTATCATATCCTCAATTTATTATGATATAAATTATCAACATTAGAACATATATGCATACTCTTATTATTATCATATCCACAATATTATCAATGTCCTAATTTTTGGGATCATATCCTTGTACCTGCACGCTCATATATATAATCTATATCCATGTGTTGCATTATTAAACATCAATTATGACCTTTCCTGATATTATTGAAGTATGAAAACAAAATAACTACGGATTCAAAACATACATATTATTTCAAAAAAGTTAATTGAATAAATAATAATACAGAAAAAGATATCAAAGTTATAATCTTAATTGTTAAAAGGATTGAAGTAGATGATTAAATGCGTCCCTTATATCAACATAAGGATTTCTCAGTCAAAAAAAAAAAAAAAGAACAAGATTTCTCTATGTAGAAAAGGTAAATAAAGAAAGATATTGATAAGGAAAACTTGAATTAAACACAAATATCAAAACTTAAAAGAAAAAAGATACCTTCACAGGATAAGCATGGCGGAGATAGGAAGGGGAGGTGGCAAAGAGATGACATTGAGCGCAAAAACAAGGCGATTATCAAACTAGAGAGAATATGACCATTGCAGAAGCAGAGGAAGAGAAGCCACCATCGATTTCATTTCTTTGAGTGCGAGGAGGAACTAAGATGGTGTAAACCTATTAGGTTTTTTTCTCACCGTTTCTTTTCTTGGAGCAAGGTGGTAGTAGAGATTTGTCGGAAATTTTGGTTTCTTAGTAATTATATAAGGCATGATTAGTTTTGGAGAAAATATTTGATCCCACCGAAAAAATGAGAGGTGCCCAAGTTTTTGTTCCTACCTTTCGTTTCAAGGAAATATCTTAATTTTTAATAAAATTAATTTAGGTTTTAGATAGTAACCATTTCAAATATCAAGGTGATATCATAACCGTTCTAATTAGGTCCTCTTTGAAACAATTAGTTGGATTAATGTTGCTAATAAGCCTTTTTGTGGTAGTGTATGTTCAAAGGCAATCAGAAAATTTTAAGAAGAGATTCAGGTTGTCTAATAAGAGACACTTGATTAGATAGATGTATTAAATGTACAATATGATTACATAAACTTCACACTTGAAAATATTCTAAAGTACAATAATTTACATAACTTTTGTAAAGATATGATATAACCTAAAAATTCTATATAATAACCAAAAAACTAGAAGAAAAATAACGACTTAAAATTAAAAAGAAAAATAATAACTATATATTTAACATTTTGATTGACTGAACTTTACACATGATCTAAAATTGGTACAAGAGCTATTGGAGTTTCTTTACATCTTGGAAACTTAAGGTAATTTTGTTATTTTAAGGGGAATTCTCTCCAGTTTCCCTAGCTAGATTATGACTAGTTTCAAGTGAAAAATGATGAAGAAATTTCACAATCTCTAGCTAGATTATGACTAGTTTCAACTGAAAAATAATGAAGAAATTTCACCACTTAGAGAGAAGCAATTTGATTGGGAGGAAAAGTAGTTATTTAATATGATTGATTATTCAGTATCATCAGGGGAATATTGGACGGATGGTTTAAGAATTTTTTGTTTAAAGGATGCAAAATAAAATTTGATTGTAGGGATGATAGACTTATAAAGAATGATTTATTTCTAAAAGTACGTAAGAAAATTTTGATAGAAGCTCAAGGATGTAGAACTGGAAGCAACGATGATCTTTTTAGACCCACTTTGAGTGATATAATCACAGAAGCAGATACAGATCCCAGAGCATCTACTGGAGACCAATAAACTAGAAGATAATTGCTCTCTAGTAATATGTGAAGAATGGTAAAAGCTATTGATTGATAATTTGAGCAACCAATTTCAATCATGTGTAAGGTTTACTCAATCAAAATGTTAAATCTATAAGTCATTTGTTTTTCTTTTTAACTTCCAAGTCGTTATCTTTCTTTTAGTTTTTTAGTCATTATGTGTAGAATCTTTAGCTTTATGTCAAATCTTTATAAAAGTTATGTCAATTATTGTACTTTAGAATCTCTTCTTTTGAGGTGGAAAATTTATGTAATGATTTTGTACCTTTAACGCTTCTATTTAAGGAAGTGCATTAATGAAAGGAGGATATCTTTCTTTAGACAACTTGAATATCTTCTTAAAATTATGTGAATTATTAATATTACTAATAATTATAATTATGTACAATAATGTATTGATTAGTTATTTTATACTATTTTAATATAACTAATAATTATTTAAAAGAAGCTGTTACTCATTTTAGAGCTTTTCTTTATTATTAAAATATGTTAATTGCGTTCTAGTGAATGACCAAAGGTTTTGGGAAAGTGAGGAGGTGAATAGTTAATGAGGGGTTATGGGTTGTTAGTGGAGGATTAATTGGAGATAGGGCATAATTGGGAATTATCAAAACTGAGGGAGCGAAAGAAAAATAAAATGTTTTGACATTGCAATAATATTTTATAAGTAGTACAGATATAGATTTGTAGAAAAAAGAATATTAAAGCTAACTCTCGTGAAGGTTGAATTAGTTTGTTTAAGAAGGAAATGAACCTTGCATGCAAGTCCCCTTATTTGAATGAGAGCCTACCACCTTGCAATCCCTTGTTTTTCCATGAGTGCTTGCCACCTAGCTAATGTGAGACTAGTGCATGAGAGCTTGAAACGCAAACTTGAAGACTTCT